TTGACTACATTTATTTCAGAAGCATTTTGGCTGTAGAGCAGTGTTATTTCACAATTACCAGGTTACGCTTTGCCTGACTAACTGTGGCTAGCCTTTGTGGCCAGATCACAGTAATGACGCCACTCTGAGTTCTGCGGAAAGGAGACGTATAAAATATGATATTCTTTTTATTTAAAACATAAAACAAATGTGAGCACAATTCCTGTAAACTGTACTGTGTGAGCAGACCCGGTAGTTGCATGGAGCCCCACTGAAACCAACCGCAGTGCTGCAAACGCTCAATCCTCTGGCAGCAGAGGGCTGATGCAGCTTAGACAAGCACCTAACCCACATGTGGATGACATAAATATCATGGTCTCAGTGACAACGTGTGTATTCCATTTGCAGAGACGCAGTAAAAATAAACACTTTGGTCGCAAATCTTCCTGTCTTTGTGTAACACCAACAAACCCCTATTGTTAGCGGGTGGGATTGAACCTGGGACCTCTGGAGCTTACTAGTGCACAAGCCTCTACTGCATGAGCTAAAAGCCAGACTCACTAATCTCTCTCTAAGGCTACATCTTCACTACCCGCCTGAATCGGCGGGTAGAAATCGATCTCTCGGGGATCGAATTATCGCGTCTCGTCGGGACGTAACAATCGATCCCCGAATCGACGCTTGTACCCCACTAGCGCAGGTAGGAGTAAGCGCCGTTGACGGGGGAGCCGCGGAGGTCGATTTGCCGCCGTCCTCACAGCGGGGTAAGTCGGCTTGGATACGTCGAATTCAGCTATGCTATTCGCGTAGCTGAACTTGCGTATCTTAAATCGACCCCCCCCCACCCCAGCGAAGACGTAGCCGAAGTGATCTCAGCACCACTAGATGGGTGAGAACACCACACCCAGGAGGTGTGTGAGTTACATTTGCTTTTCACTCAATCCTTCTTTAAACGCCCATGGCAGTCAATGATTCTTGCCCAATTAAAGACTGAAGAATGATTTCTGGATTTAGCCCAGGGGTTCTCAGACTGGGGGGAGGGGGTCATAACCCATCAGGGAGTGACAAGGTCATTACATGGGGGTTGTGAGCTGTCAGCCTCCAAACCCCGCTTTGCCTCCAGCATTTATAATAGTGTTAAATGTAAAAAACGGTGTTTTTCATGTATAAGGGGAGTTGTACTCAGAGGCTTGCTGCGGGAAAGGGGGGTCACCGGTACAAAAGGTGGAGCACCACTGATTTAGCCCCTTGTGTCGGATCAGCAGCAAACCCCAGCACTTTGGAATGCGCCACAGCGCTGAGATCAGAGCCTGATTCCTCCATGACAGACACTGAGCTATTGGGGAAAATGCGTCAGTGCTGATTGAATCACCACCACCCAGGGCGGTCCCTTTCTTCCACTCGCTCCTTGGTGGTGTAACCTGGGCGTTACATTCGCTAGAAGCAAAGGGGGGAAGTAGCTTGTTTATATATACAAAATCTGATCAGCTACCCGCTTCCTTGTATTGGCCAGCCGCAGCCTCCAGGTGTGGCATCAATGCTTGTACGGGATTAAGTAGCGTGTTCCCAGTCTGCCAAAGCCAATATTTAATTAAACAAACAGCATTTCGGCCGGGCTGCCCGACTCCTCCTCCATGAAAACAGACCGCGCTGAGGCGGGTTTGCTGCTGTCTAGCGCTTGTCCCCGGGGCTCCTTGGCGCTAGCGCCGGGACAGGGGGAAGTGGCGCCGGCCCGCCAAGGGACACAGCCGGGCCGCGTGTGCCCGTGAGAGGCGATGGGGCGGAGCAGCCCGGGGGAGCGGCGGGGGCTGCTGGCGGCGGCCGAGCTGGGGCGGCGGGTGCAGGGGCTGGAGCACGGGGCGGGCGCCGATCGCTGGGCTGAACCCGCCCCCCGGCACAGGCAGCGAGCGCCCGGTGTAAGCAGCGAAGCAGGCCCCGCCCCGCAGCCTGCAGACCCCGCCCCCCGCTGCTGGCCCCGCCCCCCGCTGGCTCACCTGGCGGCAGGCGCCGGGCTAGTCCCCGTGGGTTCGTCGTCGAGGCGGCAGCGTCCTGGGTCCGCTCCGCCGCCTTCGCTGCGCGACTCCTCCCGCCGGCCCCGCCATGGTCTCGGCTCCGCGCTGCCCGCCGGGCGCCCGGGGGCTCCTGGCGCTGCTGCTGCTGCTGCTGCTGCCCCTGCCCGGGGCTCGCGGTGAGTGGGGCTTGGTGGAGGGGGGCCACAGGCGGCCCCTGCCCGGGCACAGAATCCCCTCGGTTCTCTTCCGCCCGCCCCTCCGTCGGTGCCGGGCGGGGAGCGGAGCCGCAGCGGCTCCCCCGGACGGGCCCTCCCCGTCCTATTGCTCAAGCGGGGCCGCCACTTCAGCATCCCTGGGGCGGGGCTCTGCCCACACGGGGCCTGGCCCCGCCCGACCCAAGAGCCCCCCCCCTCCCGCATCCAGCCCGGGCTGCGTCGGACTCGGCCCGCGGGGGGCAGGAGGTGGCGAGTGGGACTCGAGCCCAGCCGCGCCGCAGCGACAGGTCCCCGCTGTCCCAGCCCGGCACCTGGGGCGGGCTCCGCATCTCAGCCTGGGAGGTTAAACTCTGTCCCGTTGGTGAGAGTGTTAATGCCCAGAGCCTGCTGCTGGGGGTGTCTCCTGTCCGTGGCTGGGGGGGAGGGAAAGCTACTTCGAACAGCAGGTAAAGGTGCAGCTGTTGTAGCTGTACCAGTGTCAGTAAAACGAAGTTTGGGGTATAAGACGCCTAAAGATTATAAAATGAGCAAGTTCCCCTGTTGTAGCCTTAGGTTTGTGACTGTATAGAAATAAATTTTTATTAAAGCTAATGTTAAAATGATCTAATACACAGGGTAAGAAAAAAGTGTCTGTACATCTGGGTATAACGCTTAAATTATCCAAAAGTACAAAATTTGGTTTGAAAGTCATAAGGACCATATAGTACATAATCTACAGTATCCCAAATTAAGGTTAATAAATTCAGTGATACGGTTAAGGTATTAGTATCCAATTCTTTGGGTACATTGCCCATAAAAGGTTATACTAAGAGTAGCTTGTGGAAAGCAATTATAGCGAGGAGTAAAGATTGTCCCTCATTAATTGAGAATTTAGGATCGGTTGCCCCTTAGAAAATACAATACAGAACATCGGGAAGTATTTCAGTTACTTTCCTGACTTTGCTTCTCATTGGCACTTGTCCTCATGCCTGTCATACAGTTTCCATGCATCGCATGAGAAATATGAAAGTCAGCTGTCTCAGAGAGAGCTTTCCACTGGCTGCTTTCACTTGTTTCTAACCCCATACATGTTTCATGTACTCTCCTATGGATTGCTCCCTTGGTCTCTTTTGCCCTGTACGTCACCTTCTTTCATGTCACTCTGTATGGTTGCAACAGTCTCTCTGAGCCTGTGCTGCGTTAGATCATAAGCTCTGTGAGGTGGAGGAATGTCCTGTTTTGCACAATGTACTTACCTTGCGTTACCTTACATGCTCAGGATGATGTATACATGGTAAATAATGTAAAATTTGAATGTACTGCAGTTTTGTATCAAGGCCATTCAGTAAACTAGCTTCAAGGCTATAATGAAAACAAGTACATCCAAATTGTCCCCAATAAAATCATTTGTGACTTCTCAAAAAGTAGTATTCTGTTACAACAGATTATTGAATATCTTTCATAGTTAACTTTTTTCCCCTTCCTTGTCTGTCCCTATTGTTAGGCATTTGTGATTCTCCTCCAAGATTGAGTTTTGCTGAGCTGCCTGGGGTGGTGAACGATTCCTATCCTGTTGGAACCAAACTGAAATACTCCTGTCGCTCAGGATACATATTGGGCTCTGGAAAGTCTCCTTATGTTACATGTCTTGCAAATTCAACATGGTCAGTAGACCCGGAGTTTTGTGTAGGTGAGTATCTTTGTTGCTTTTCCATTTCAATTGATGTGCAAGCCATCTTGACACAGTTAGGAATCTCTTTTCTATTGGGTATCTCTCTTCTATTGGCATATGAAAAGAAGGCAACTCCCATCTTTTCATATGCTGTGTATTTATACCTCTCTGCTGTATTTTTCACTCCATGCATCTGATGAAGTCAGTTTTAGCCCATGAAAGCTTATGCCCAAATAAATTTTTTAGTCTCTAAGGTGCCACAAGGACTCCTAGCTGTTTTTGCTGATACAGACTAACATGGCTACCATTCTGAAACCTGTTAGAATAAAGTAAAACACGCTGGTGTGGCAAGTGTCTGTCTTTTTTGAAAAATTGTAGTTGCTGTATCCCTGATAACGAAATATACTGAATTCACTGTACTAAAAGTAAACCCATTACTGAATAATGTGTGTTACAAACTTGGACAAAATACTAATTCATAACAAAACTTAGAGAATACTTCTCTTGGCTTCATTGCTAAGAGTACAATAAGATATTTGCAAGTTTCCTCATCTCAAGACTATATATGCTATATTCCATGCAGAAGTCCCTAGTAAATGCAGTACTACAGTAACTAGTAAGGATATCTACAGTTGGATGCTGATGAACCTTAACTCTGCCTCCTTGTGCACATGTTTTAAATTATGATTTAATTTGTTGTATTGAATACTGCTGGGACTTTCTTGAATATCCTTAGACTCACCTACTCTGGCTTGAGAAAATACTTTATATACAGGCCCTGATTCAGCAAAGCACTTAGTGCGTTCTTAAGTCCCAGTGACTTCAGTGGGACTTGTTTTGCTGAATTGATCAGGCTTTAGTAAATAGGTCACAATTTTTACATGCCTTGTCTGCTTTGATATTTTTTCCCAGTACAGTGATAAAAAGTCCTAACTTTACTTTACATGGATACTGTCTGTCTATATTGAACTCCATATAGATATGGTGAATTTTTGACACAGTTCATTCTTCGTGGGAATAAGTCTCCTGCGGGAGAAAGCATCACAAATAACTCTTGTAGGGGCAAAGAAAAGCTCTTCCACTGAGCTTGACTGAGGAACATGCAGTTTTTAGCTGTCTAAAATCAGGATTCACATATCAAGAAAACTAACAACAAATATTTACAAAACACATAACAAGCCTGTGGAACATTCTGCCACAAAATGGAGGCAAGGAACATGGTAGGATTCAAAAAAGGATGAGACACTTAGAACCTGGTCCAGCAAACACAAATGTGCTTAATGTTGCCCATGTGAATGGTCTGTTACTTCATAGAGTTTAATGCTAGAAGCGATTGTTACAACACAGGATACTTGCATTTCACCAAATTATCCCTTTACTGGGCCCCAAAACTTGTATTTGACTAAAGCATATCTTCGAGAAGGACAGCCAGTCCTGATTTGTAGACTTGCAGAGACTGAAAATCTGCCATTTCCTCTGGTAATTTGTTCCAGTGGTTAGTCACCCTCACTATTAAACACTTTTGCCTTATTTCCATTTTGAATTTGTCTGGCTTGACTTTCCAGCTCTTGGTTCTCGTTCTGCTTTTCTCTGCTAGATAAAAGAGCGCTTTAGTACCTGGAATCTTCTCCTCGAGACGGTCCTTAGATGCTGTAATCAGGTCGCCTCAATCTCTCTTGACCAGCTAAACAGACTGAGCTCTTTAAGTCTCTCACTGGATGACATTTTCTCAGGCCCATGAATACCTTTTTGTGGCTCTTTTCTGCACCATCTCCAATTTTTCAACACCATTCTGAAAATGTGGACACCACAGCTGGGTACAGTATTCCCGTATGGGAATGTATACAGCATTGCTATCACCTCCCTACTCCCCTGTTAATACATCAAGGATCGCATTAGCCCTGTTTGCCATAGGATGCACTGGGAGCTCATGTTCAGTTGATTGTCTGCTGTCACCTCAATCCTTTTCAGACTTGCTACTTCCCAGGATATAGTTTCCCCGTTCTCTAGGAACGGCCTGCATGTCTTGTGCCTAGATGTATAATTTTGCATTATATGATACTAAAATGAATTTTGTTTGAATGGACCCAGGGATCTATATTGCTTTGTAGGACTGCCCTGTCCTCATTTATCACTCCCCCAATTTTTGTGTCATCTGCGAATTTTATCAGGAGTGATTTTTGTGTACTTCCAGGCAACTGATTAAAATGTTGAATAGCATCAGGTCTAGTACGGATGACTGCTCCTTGAGATGTCACTTAGCCAATTCTTGTATGCAGTGGTGGTATAGCCATGTCAGTCCCAGGATATGAGAGAGACAAAGTGGGTGAGATAATATCATTTATTGGACTAACTTCTGTTGGTGAGAGAGACAAGCTTTCGAGCTTACACGCCACAATTCTTTGTCTGGGAAATGTATTCCAAACCTGAAGAAGAGCTCTGTGAAAAGTTGAAAGTTTCTCACCAACAGAAGTTGGTTCAATAAAAGATATTACCTCACCTTCTTAGCCAACTTTTAGTCCACTTAACTTGTGCTCTATTGATACTGAAGTGTTAATTTTTTAATTAGAATGTTGTGTAGTACTAAGTCAAACAGCTTACAAAAGTCTAGGTATATTACATCAGTTATATTTATCGAACAAATTTGTAACTACAAAGAACTAGGTCAGGTTTATCAAACAAACCTGATTTTCTATAAAACCATATTGATTGGTATTAATTATATTTCTGTTCTTAATTCCTTATGAATTGGGAAAATTTTGCCCTACACTCAGGGCTGGCTCTAGCGTTTTTGCCACCCCAAGCAACCCCCCTCCCCCCCCCCCAAAAAAAGCCGCGCTTGGCAGCAGCTCTACCGCCACTTCATTCTACAGCGGCAATTCGGCAGCAGGTCCTTCGCTCTGAGAGGGAGTGATGGCCCCGCAGCCGGATGTGCTGCCCCCCTCTTCATTGGCCGCCCCAGGCACCTGCTTGCTATGCTGGTGCCTGGAGCCGGCCCTGCCTACACTGCTCAAGAGGTCAGAATAGATTTGCCCTTGGAAGTGATGAATCCCACAATACCTTTACATTATTATGCCTGTGAGTGAGGTCATGTTAACTAGTGTATAGTTACCTAGGTCCTTCTGCTTGCCCTTTTTGAATACTGGCACAAGATCAGCGCTCTTCCATTCTTCTTGAAATTCCTGGTACTCCAAGATTTATTAGAAGTTAATCAGTGGATAGAGATCTCCTTGGACAACTTTTTAGGATGCTTGGGTGCAAGTTATCCCAAGATTTTGATTTAACAATGTTTATCCCTAGTAGATGTAGTTTAACTTCCTCCTTAATTACTAATAGACATGAAAGTACTTCATCATACTCTTGTGATGAGACTACATTGTCGTGCTTCTTTCCAAATACAAAAGGGAAATAATTACTGAAGACTCCTGCCTTTCCTGCATCATAATTGTTTTACCATCTCCATTTAGTAACTGGTTTGTACCATTACTAGGCATGGTATACTCAATGTATCATCCAGACTAATGAGAATCTGTCACCCCTGCCCTCTAACCTGGGGTGCCCTTTACAATGCTTTGCTGCTGTAGCTCCAGTCTGGACTGCTCACAAACAGCCGCCAATGTGCAAGTAACTCCCAGCTGTGTCTCAGTCAGCCATACCTTGGCTCTCACCAGCCTTGGTTATACTGCAGGGTGACCCTAACAAACTCCTAGTATTCATTTTGGTTTTTTTCCCTCCAGAGAAATATGTCTTGTATTGCCCAGCCCTTTCCTGGACAATACAAATTCATATCAAGTCTGTATTTCTTCAATAGAAATAAGTTCATACCTTGTTACCCAAATAGAATTTCACAAACACTTCAGTTTAAACACACTGTATTAGATCAAACAAGTTTATTAACTACAAAGAGGTTTTAAGTGAATGCAAGTAATGAGGCATAAGTCCGAAATGGTTACAAGAGAAGTCCAGATAAAACACAACTGGTGCCCAAGTTAACGAACTATGTTAAACTCAAAATAAAGGTTTTCTTACCACATGCTCCCAGCAGTCTTACTGACCAAACTTCTTAGGTGAGGACCCCTTCTTCAGCTTAGTGGCTGATTCCTTTGTCTCTTCTAGTGCAGTGATTCGATGGACAGAGTGAGAGGGAGGAGGGGTGCCTGGGAGTGTTTGTCTCTCCTTTATTATAGTGCCAGTCCTGCCCCTTGGAAAACATTCCGAGCTGCCAAAAAGTCTATAGAGAAAGATCTTCCCTGCTGCTTTTCCTTGCTTGATGACTGCTTAAATGCAAACTAAGCAGAGCACACATTCCTTTGAGACAGACCTGTTTGCCAACTTGTGCTGTGGTTTGCAACATAAGTAAACATTATACAGGGAAATCTTTTAACTTCCCATACAGTGTTGCCATGCATTTTATCAGGACAATATTGACCAGTAAACTATAGATTTTCAGATACCTCACAAGGCATACTTTGTACAAAGATTATTACAGCAGTCTCTAGGGTGTGGACAAGGTACATTCTCATACAGTAGGATTTCTTTTGTTCCTAAGGAACTTCAAAACCTTCTCCTTATTGTCTGTAACCATGCCAGTTGTGACTCTTTCACTGATGTCTTTAGCTCCCCATATCAGTTTTTACATTTCGTAACTTATGCCATCTATCCTTTTTTCCATGTATTATGTTGCGTTTTATTTGTAATTGCTGCCAGTTGAGGTCAATGGGTCTGCCCACACGAATATAGTTATGCATATGAGTTTTCAGGATCTGGGCCTTAACATGTACAATAGGAATATTTGCATTTATACTAAATCTGCAAGGGGAACTTAATTCTCTTGATTCAGGATATAAGGCAACCACTGTCTGTGTGGGATTAGGAAGCATCATCCCACTTCCACTTCTCCTCACTTCCCCTGGGCATGTTACAAAATTATCCATAATGTGGGTTGTAAGATTTCTTCTGTAGCCTTTGGTGCTGACCGCTGTCATACAGGACAGATACTGGACTCCAAGAGCATTGGCTTTGATCTGCCATGATATTTGCTATGTTAGGGGGTGCAAGTTAGCATATCCCCTTTTCCCCATTAAGGTAATATGAAGTAAAGCTAATATTAGTCTTGTTCTCTTCTAGGAAGACCATGTAAATCACTAGAACTAGAAAATGGCAGAGTTGATTTAACCGATCTCCAGTTTGGTGCAACAGCAAACTTCTCCTGTAATGAAGGGTGAGTGGCAATTTGCTTCTTTTGACTAATTAACAGAATCTAGACTGGTGTGACACTGCTGGTGATGTCTGGCAAAATGAGACTAGAAAGCCTGCTTAACTTCAAGAACAGAAGTGAGTGGTGTGCTATAAATCTGTATCAAGAATTACACCTGTGATTTTTCAAAGGAGTTGAAGGAAGAGAGCAACCAGCTACGGTTGTCATGCAGTGGGAGATGGGCACCTAACTCGCTCAGGTGCTTTTGAAGATCCCAGCCTAGAGCCCTCAGGAGATCATCCAGCAGGGGTTGTGTTATGAGATTGAGAGTCCCACCTCAGGGGTCATGTGGCACTTACTGACCTGTGCCATCTCTCCCTTGTTACAGGGGTTTCTGTCTGGGTGCTGGGAGCTAGTGGCAGAATATTGCCCGTAAAATGCTGCACCAGGTAGGAGCAGACCTTTTCCTGCTCTACAATAGCAAATATTTGTCTGTACCTTCCTTATAGATGTCACTATTACCCAGGATAGCATCACGTGCAGTTGTTGCTTTCGTCCATATGGGTTATGTTGCCAGGCCTTGGGGAATCAAAAATAACTAGTGGCTTCATTGCACTGAGCAGGTGTGTTTTGGATTTTTGAGGTCTCAAAGTTAAAGGACAGAAGAGACCACCAGATCCTCCAGTCTGACCTCTTGTATATCCCAGGCCACCAACTCTTCCCAGGTACCCACATACTAAACTCAACCAAAATTAGTCTAAAATACTACAGCCCACAGGAGCTTAGACCATTATGTGCCATGGGCAGAGATTAGGAGGGCCTGAGGTGCACAAATTCCTCGGGCCCCTGTCATGGCAGGGAAATGTTGAAGTGAGAGAGATTGAGATAATCCTGGCAAGTGACCTGCACTCACATTCTACAGAGGAAGGCCAAAAAAAAAAAAAAACCCCAGTGTCACTGCCAATCTGACCTGGGGGGAAATTTCTTAACGACCCCACATACTAGAGCCTGAGCATGTGAGCAAGAACCAGCAAGCCACCAAGCACTGAGGTGAGAGTCCTTGATGCCACCTCAGAGCCCTGGCCTTCCCCATCCAGTGTCCCATCTTCAGCCATGGCCATCCCTGATGGTTCAAAGGAAGGAGATAAAAGAAACCAACTCAGAATACATTGGGTGGGGAATCCCAGCCTGACTGCTGCAGGGGACTGGCTGAAATCCTGAAGCGCGAGGCTTTAGGAACATAACACACACACTGGAAACAAACCCAGGGTTGCTGAGCCCTGCCATCCCAAGCAACCCCATTATATAATTGCACCCATAAACTTGCCTGGATCTCTCTTAAACTAAGTTAGTTGCCCCCACAACTACTATTGGGTGACTGTTCCTGAACCTCACTTTTCTGATGGTTAGAAACCTTCTAATTTCCAGCCTGAAGTTGCTCATTGCCAGTTTTTACCCTTTGTTCTTGTGGCAGCATTGTACTTGGTTTAAATAGCTCTTCACCCTCCTTGCTAATTGAATGGATTGCGTTGCGTGGGCACACAAATGAAATGAATGCAGGCATTGTGTAGTTTTTCTGTATCACAACTTTAGGTGGCTTGTCCAAGCAGCAGAGATTGGACTCCCAAGGGATGTTTGGGGTGGGGGGAAATGTCAAGGACCAGTCTCAATTAGGTGTATCTGGGCGTGGGGAGGTAACTCCCTGGGGGCAAGGCCGGCTCTCCGGCTCCACAGAGGTGGGAGGTAAATCCCTTGGCTTATCCTGTAGATTGGTCATTATCCTGCCTTCTGGATGAAGTAGGCTTGAGGCACAGACATTTCTGAGCTCTTGTTGAAGGATTTGGTGATTTTTTTTCTCTGCAGTAGCCTATAGGGGCCTCAGGCCTGCACAATTCCAAAGCCTGTCAAGTCTCTGGGTTTAAAGACAGTGGTTAGACCTTGGACAGTTAAGATGCTTGAATTTAGAATATGGAACAGGGCGATGGCAAGTGGGTGACAGCTCAGGGCAGCTGTCTTGTCTCCCACTGCTGCTGTCGGCAGTTGTCTTTGGGTGTAATTTTATTTTACAAACTACCAGCTGCTTGGCCACCATCTGTTCTCTCTCATTCTCCTTCACTGTTCCCTGCCTTCACAGGAGATTGATTTCTTCAAGTTCTTTCACTTAAATTTAAGCGATGGTCTTCACTACAGAACACACAAAGCAAGTGTAGCTTTGCCAGTATGTTGCAACTTTGTGTGCTGGGTTTAGCTGGACCTTCAGCTAAATGGACTTGGAGATGCAGTGCTTCTGGCTGCCCAGCAGGGGCAGCATTGGTAAAAGTAGGAGAAAAAGTAAGGAGCTGAGCCAGCCTGACACAACAGGGCAGAGAAGAGGTTTTTAGTTCTTATGCAGAGGAAAGCAGAGTAATTCTAAGATGCAGAATGCCAGCGGCTCAAACACTTCCTCCTACATGTTAGAAACATAGGGTATGTCTACACTATGAAATTACGTCAATTTTATAGAAGTTGATTTTTTTTTTTTAGAAATCGATTTTATGCAGTTGATTGTGTGTCCCCACTAAGTGCATTAAGTCAGCGGAATGCGTCCACAGTACCGAGGCTAGTGTCGACATTTGGAGCGTTGCACTGTGGGTAGCTATCCCACAGTTCCCGCAGTCTCCGCCGCCAATTGGAATTCTGGGTTGAGCTCCCAATGCCTGATGGGGCAAAAACATTGTCGCGGGTGGCTTTGGGTACATGTCGTCAGGTCCCCCTCCCTCCCTTCCTCCGTGAAAGCAATAGCAAACAATCATTTCTCGCCTCTTGTTCTGGGTTACCCGTGCAGATGACATACCACGGCAAGCATGGAGCCCGCTCAGCTCACCATCACCGTACGTCTCCTGGGTGCTGCTGGCAGACGCGGTACTGCATTGCTACACAGCAGCAGCTCCTTGCCTTCGCAGCAGCAGACGGTGCAGTATGACTGCTAGCCGTAGTCGTCGTCTCCTGGGTGCTCCTGGCCGACCTCAGTGAGGTCAGTCAGGGGCGCCTGGACATAAATGGGAGTGACTCCAGGTCATTCTCTTCTTTAAGTTTCGTCCCCTGGAGTTTCAGTCCTGCCTGAAATATTATGCGAGCTGGAGGCTTCTGCCTCAGGCTGCTCTCCCAGCTGGCAGCACCGCGCGGTCGCACCTACCCCAGCCTACCCCTTGCTCCCATGGCTCATGAAGCCTGGACAGTAGTAAGGAGCAGTTCAACTATAGGCTGAGCAAGTGCAGAATTAATCATTAAACACGCTTGCTTTTAAACCATGTATTATATTTACAAAGGTACACTCACCAGAGGTCCCTTCTCTGCCTTCAAGGTCCGGGAGCCCATCTTGGGTGGGTTGGGAGGGTACTGGCTCCAGGGTGATAAACAGTTCCTGGCTGTCGGGGAAAACGGTTTCTCTGCTTGCTTGCTGTGTGCTATCATCTTCCTTGTCCCCAAAATCCGCATCCCTGTTGCGTGAGAATCCGTTGACGGAGTCCACGCACAGGGGTGGGGTAGTTGTAGGGGCACCCCCTAGAATGGCATCCAGCTCATCATAGAAGCGGCATGTCTGGGGCTCTGACCCGGAGCGGCCGTTTGCCTCTCTGGTTCTTTGGTAGGCTTGCCTGAGCTCCTTAAGTTTCACACGGCACTCAGTGGCGGATTAATAATTTTGCCACCCCTAGGCCAGGAAATAATTGCCGCCCTGGCCCGCCCCAACTCTGCCCTTTTCCCGCCCCCATTCCAACCCCTCCCCAAAGTCCCCGCCCCAACTCCGCCCCCTCCCTTCCCCTATTGGATCCCTTCCCCCCAGCCCCGCCTCTTCCCCCAGCGCATGGTGTTCCCCCTCCTCCCCCCTCCCTCCCTGCCCCGTGAAACAGCTGTTTCGCGACGCAAGTGCTGGGAGGGGAGAGAAACAGGACGCCGCGGTGCGCTTGCAGAAGAGGTGGAGGTGAGCTGGAGCAGGGGGGCGGGGCGCGGAGGGGAGCTTCCGCCCCTGAAAATTTGCCGCCCTAGGCCTAGGCCTTGTCGGCCTAGGCAATAATACGGCGCTGGTGGCAGTGCTGTGGGTCCCTGTTATAGCCTCTGTCCTTCATGCCCTTGGAGTTTTTTTTCAAATATTTGGGATTTCATCTTTTGGAATAGAGTTCTGATAGCACGGATTCCACTCCCCATACAGCGATCAGATCCAGTACCTCCCGTTCGGTCCATGCTGGAGCTCTTTTGCGATTCTGGGACTCCATGTTCACCTGTGCTGATGAGATCTGCACGGTCACCTCTTAGCTCGCCACGCTGGCCAAACAGGAAATGAAATTCAAAAGTTCGCAGGGCTTTTCCTGTCCACCTGGCCAGTGCATCTGAGTTGAGAGTGCTATCCAGAGTGGTCACAATGAAGCATTCTGGGATAGCTCCCGGAGGCCAAAACCGTCGAATTGTGTCCACACTACCCCAAATTCGACCCAGCAAGGTCGATTTCAGCGCTAATCCCCTCGTCGGGGAGGAGTACAGAAATCGATTTTAAGAGCCCTTTAAGTCGACAAAAATGGCTTCGGCGTGTGGACAGGGTGCAGGGTTAAATCGATCTAACGCTGCTAAATTCGACCTAAACTCATAGTGTAGACCAGGGCATAGTATGTGAAGCAGCCTCCTACTCAGCAAGTCCAAATCCTTTTTCCATATCAAAGCACTGTGAGCAGTGATCTGTAAAATAACCAGTTTTCTGGGTATCTGAAGAGTTCTGTAGCAGAGGTGGTAGGCCTTCTTTCACCTACTGGAGATGGGAGTGCAAAAATCTCTAATTTAGAAGAGGGGTAATTTGTTCCCCTTTGCAGGGGATTAACAAGTATTCCCAAGCATCTGATAAGCATAGCCCAGAAGCGAGGACTCTCTCCTGCGAACACTTTTGGGAGCTCTATCTTCTGGCTTGTAGCTCTTTATTGCCTTTAACTACACAGGGCCTGGTCTTCACGTACAGCGGCGCAGCTGTACAGTTGTATATAAAGATGCTCATATGTTGATGGGAGAGTCTCTCCTGTCAGCATAGTTAATCCATCTCTCCAACCCCCTCCCCAAAGTCTCCGCCCCCTCCCTTCCCCTATTGGATCCCTTCCCCAAATCCCAGCCCCGCCTCTGTTGGCGGGAGTTCTCCTGTTGACATAGCGCTGTCTACGTGAGGGGGTTAGGCCAGTATAACTGTCACTCAGGGGTATGGATTTTTCACACCCCTGAGCAACGTAGTTATGTTCCTGAAAAATGCTGCTTTAAGCAAATCCAATTCCCCAATAAGAATGAATATAAATGGGATTGGGGGGGGGGGGGGTAGGTAGGTTCCAGGGAAATCTTTTTCACCAGACAAGACTATATATATCTCTATATCATTATATATATATACAGTATAACTTTTAAGCAAACAATTTAATACTGTACACAGCAATGATTGTGAAGTTTGGTCAGAGGGAGGGATATTTCCCAGAGAATGCCTTACTGCTAAATGATGAACTAGCACTCAGTTGAACCCTCAAGGGTTAACACGTTGTTAATGTAGCCTTATACTCTACAAAGCAGCAGGAATGGAGGGAGGAGACACAGCATGGCAGAGAGACACACACACACACACACACACACACACACACACACACAGTGAGAGAGACACACGCACATTGCCCTTTTAAGTACGCTGACCCCACTCTAAGTACATTGTCTTTTTAAATAGATCAGCAAGTTGAGACAGCAGCTGCTGCCAGCAAGCTCCCTCCATCCTGAGCCCTGTTGTGCACCGCCCCCCCCCCCCCCCCCCCACCCCCCCCCCGCCCAGCGGTACAGGAGCAGGGGGAAGGGAACATCCTGACATTAGCACCCTTCTCCCCCCCCCCCCCCCAACACACAGCAAGCAGGAGGATCCCGGGAGCAGCTCCAAAGCAGAGGGCAGGAGCAGCACACAGCAGTGGGGGAGGGGAGTCAGCTGAACTGCTCAGCAATTGATAGCCTGCCGAGCGGCTGCCACACAGGGAATTTAGGGGAGCTGATACGGGGACTGCCGGTCCAACCTGGTTCCTAGCTCCAACAGGCTGCGCTTTCTGCAAGCAGTGGACAAAGTAGGTGGCTGCCAAACAAGTTATAAGGCAGCATTGTGCAACTTTAAACGAGCATGTTCTCTAATTGATCAGCAACGAAACAATGTTAACCGGGACGAAGTTAAGTGAGGAGTTACTGTAGTTATACTGATACAGATGTGTACTGTAGACCTGACCTTAGTGTTCCTTGGTCCTATGGTGTTAGATGTGTCCCTTTTTCAATGGTTTGTCTCAACCTGCTGGCAGAAAGAAACCATGTTCCATCTTTCTGGACTGTTAACTAGTTCTTTGCTTCTATGAGTAACAAACTTGAACCTTTTTTCTTTCTTTAGGTATAGATTAATTGGAACGACTTCTGCCAAATGTGACCTTTCAGAAAATGGAGTTGATTGGGATAAGCATGTTCCACTTTGCGAAGGTAAACTAATCTAATGGTTTTAAGAACGGTTCACGTCTGGAGATGATGCAGCATAGCTGGTGCTTCAGAGGAGTCTCTGTTCTTACTTTGGCATTTAATCCAAATGACAGTTGAGTTGGGGGGAGGAATAAAATACTGTGGTTCACCATGGTGTTTGGATGACTCCTACAGAATCTTTTTTTTTTTTTTTTTTAGTCCCTTCTAGATTGTTCACCTGGCACTGTTTAATGTGCACAATCCAACAGGCCTCATGGCGCCTCTTCACTATTGTATCTGTGTAATCCTGCTGCTCACTAAGTAAAAGGCATGATAATGACTTCAAGAAGTTTTGACCCTTCCCAAATCTGACTATCCACTTAACTCTTTGGGAGTGAATCACAATTAATTTGCTTCTACCTTAATTTGATCTCTTGGATGCTTTCTGGGCTTGGTCTATCAATCATGCTGCTGATGTCCAGTTTAGAATCAGCTGCTGATACAAGAAATGTCCTAGCTTAGTTTTCTGCTGGTGGAACAACACTACCTCTAGAGACGCTGGGCAAGAGGTTCTGGCTCCTTGAGACTCATGTTGGGAAGGAGCACGCTCTGTTAAGGTCATCTTCCTGAGCTGGTGTTTTATGGAGCATCCTCCTTGAGCAATGGACGTACTGGGTTGGGTCAAGCCTAAAACCAGAAAAATGTTCAGAATCTGAAAGGGTTATTGCTTCAAATGTTAAAATGCAATGTTAAGTACCCTTCCAAATGGCTAAATAGCTTTTGGGGGGGATCTGAGACAACTTTCTTAGTGAAAATTCTCTCTTCAGTTCACCTTCAATGGAAACTTGAATGTTCATGTTGACCTTCTTTGCTTCAGCAATACCTTGTCTTCCACCTCCTGATATCACCCATGGATCCCATACTGGTCAGAGTGAACAAGAGTTTTCCTTTGGCTCAGCGGTAACTTACAAATGTGACCAGGGCTTCTCTCTTATTGGAGAGGCCTCCATTCATTGTACAATGAAAGATAATGTCAATGGAGAGTGGAGTGGGCCTGCCCCTGAATGCAAAGGTTAGTCACGTCTGTTTTTTTTTTTTTTTTTCCCCTTCTACTATCTCCTCCCAGGAAAAACCTATATTTTGATTGCTAAGTAAACCCATAATCCTGAGGAAATTCAGTAAGTGCTTAGTCCCCCTTAATACGTATCATGGAAACTAGTTACTGTTGGAAGACTAAAGAATGACTGACACTACATAGAGCATTGCTGGAAACAATTTTTTACCTCTAATACATCCTGTATTTATTTTTGTCTCCCTTCAGTGTTCCAAGATTGCAGTTAATTCTCATGTCACAAACAGTTGTGGTTTTTTTTTTTAAGGTGGAGATAAACTCTTAAACTAAGGTTTTGCTTTTATGCCAGTATCCTACTACTCAGTGGCAAAGAGGGTGGGGAGAGCCTTACAAGCAGGATTGTTTGGAACCATATTTTTCAGAACTCTCTCTGTGAGGGCTCCTTGACAGTGAAGGCTCAGACTTCTGTGAGTTCATATCACAGCCATAAGTTCTTAAGAGGGGGAAATAAAGGTCATTGTACATTTAGCTAACAATGCGTTTATGTACTTGGTATTCAAGCAGCTGCAACAACAGGTTTTATTCTTGCTGAGTTAGCCTCCATCCCAGCTTCTTAGGCTGGGTTTTTCAGAGGCATTAGGAAGGTTGGTCACCTCGCTATTTAATATTAACTCCCCCAAAAGCGGGGAAGTTCAGTTCCAGAATGTCGTTGTATGTGGATCTCTTGTAGCTTGACCCAAATTCCTGATGGCATCATAAAATGATGTTTAACTTGTGCAGTTTACTGGAGGGGGGAGGCAGGAGTCTGATACCCATACAGTTGGGTATGTAGACTAACATATTTTTAAACGGAAAGATCCAAAGTTGTATAACTTTATTTTAAAATACATTTTGATACCTGCTGTAGTCAACTAAATTCTTCCTGTGCAAAATGTTCTTATGCTGGTACTTCTAATTTTCAGTGGTCAAGTGTCCAGAGCCAGAAGTCAAAAATGGAAAAAAGCAATCTGGGTTTGGATCTGAGTATTCATATGGAAACACCGTAATATTTGAATGTGATTCTGGCTATGCTCTGAAGGGTAGCAGTTCAGTTAAATGTGAAGCTAATAATTCATGGGTTCCATCTTTGCCCACCTGTCTGCGTGAGTATAAGCAGTTGTATTGAACCTTTTATATACTAATGTTTAGGAAGCTTGTTGCTTTTCAGTAGCCATGTTACAATGATTTAAAGTTTGAGTGTCTGTGTCCCTTTTTTTCCATAGGCATAACACATACTACACCTGCAACTTCCCCTCCAGGAGGAACAAAAGATACTTTTGGTGAGTTGGAAGAACTTTTGGCTATTTAAAGCTTCCAGATTTTTAGCATGTAGTTTCTACAAGACTTAAAATGGAAGTGTGGAATTCACAAAGTACATTTAATCTCTCAGTTCACAATTGCTACTATAAGCAACGTTCTCCCTCAGGTTTTAGAGCATGACATATTTCTTCATCTACCCTTCCTTGCATCCTCTTCTCAAAAGCACTTGAAACAGCTTACTAGCTGTACTGAGCTGTAAGAATGTGTAACTTTCCTCATGAGGGCCCATAGGGGGAAGCATTCAGGAGAGGTTTAGCAGCTGCCACCTGAGGTTAGTGATGCATTCGAATAACAAGAAAATGGCTTCAGATTTGTAACAGCTTCAGAAGTGTGTTGAGGGGAAATCTGAATTTCTTCCTTTCAAGTGATTGCACGTTTGTTCCACATTCGGTATGCGAGGGCCTTGTCTGAAGCCAGAGAGTTTGCAGTAGTGGTACCCATTGGAGCAGTGCATGTGCCCTGAGCTGCTTCATTCCCCTACCGATCTGCCCTTGCTCCTGTCAGCTATTTCTCACTGCCTGTGGTGAGTAGTCTGTCTCCAGTGAGCTCTGCACACAGGATTTTTCCTCTAAAGACCTGTTAGGATTATTTTCTTAAATATTTTTTTGCAGTTAACTCACACAATTAACTAAAAAAAAATTTGATAAATTGTAATGCTGCAAGAAGCAGCTGTAGAACGGAGCCATTGTTCGCTTATGTTTTGGTTTCACCCATTTTGTGCTGCTAACTGGGTTCTCTGAACTAATTATGTGGGATCTCAGAATTGTTTGTAGTGTACTTAATCTTTGTTGGTCTAATTGCACAGTTGAAAGAATGAGTTATTGACTCCAAGCATGATGCGGACCTAGCACCTGAAAATATTTGTACGTATTTTTCCTTGTACAGGATCAACTGCAACACCCACCGAAGAAACCACAAAAAATACCCCGGGTAAAAACAGACTCTTAAAATCTCTCAACTTTATGTTGGGAAAGTATTAATTCTCTAGTTTTGTTATCACCATTTGGAGGTAACTGCATCTTTGACCCCTCCCGCCCTTATGGTCTGCTCAAGGAACATCCTCTCAGGCCTCTAGCCAAAAGTTCTCTCTGACAGCAACCCGCAGCCCTTCTCTCTCCATCTTGGGAGATTTTTGGCCACAGGTCCCCTGTCTCTCTTTTTTTTACTCACTGTATCTGCAGAGCAAGATTCTGTAGATGCAATTGTAGGCCCACAAGCCATTTCAAAGCTACTGTGTCACAAAGGAGGCTATCGTCCATTTCACCTTTGAATCCATATTTGGGGCACTGTGTTATGAAGTGTTCAGTGGTGAGAACATCCAAACCACAGTTGCATGAAAGGGAGTCTCTGATTTTTCCATTTCTGCATCAAGTAGCTGCATCTTTGATGGTTCAGGTGCAGTTGAGTCCAGAGTCCGCATAGCAGGTTGAAATCATAAGGGCAGCTTGTCGGGTCTGTGCTAATGTTTGTTTAGACGGTGGATGAGGTCCAGATATTTTGCCATTCCCTGGCTAGATCCAAAGAGATGAGGTGGCCGCATGTGGTCCACAGCAGTTGTTGCTATTTCAGGCATGCGGTATGTAGTCCGTAATATGCTGGATGGGAAGTTCTGGGTAGTCTTTGGTATGTTAAGTTCACGTGCAATGGCTGTATCTCAGTGAATAGCTGGAGGTTCAGTTTTTGCTAATACAGAGAGCCATGGTAGAGGGGTTGATTTTTAAAGTTGCTATGATGATTCACATGGTCTGATTCAGCTGCCCATCCGCAAGTTAGGTGTGGCAGCTTTTTGTCCACATTGGTGCACAGAACTCTGCAACCGAATACACAAGGACTAATGCTATTGTAGATAGCACCAGGGCAGTTGATCCCCAGTTTGTTTCTTTTTTTTTTTTTTTTTTTTTTTTTTTTTTTTTTTTTTGGACCATGTTGAGGTGAGTCTTTGCTTCGGAGGCTACTTTCTGGATATGGTTATGGAAGGTATGTGTACAGTCAAGAATGACACTGAGTGTTATGAATAGTCTGTGGGCTCATAACATCTGGCCCATCTCAATATAATGGTCTCTGATGGTTTTCATGCTGTCAAAGGCTGACTGAAACTTTCAGAAAACATTCATGTTACATACAGCAGTTTCAAGATAGGCCTGCATTCCTTATGTCGTCATTATTGATGTATTTTTAGTTTTGGCTAATTTAGACATCCCAGGAGATCTCAGGCTGAGATGTGGGATTGGATGGGTGGAGATAGGTAAATTTGCAAGCAATCGACATAGAAATGGTAGTTGAAATCATGTGAGCAGATGAAATCGCCCAAAGAGGGACCAAGAACAGTGTGAAGAGGTGGAACCTGCAAGAGACTCTGCCGAGGCAGCCAGAGGGGAAAGAGCCAGGGGTGACCGTCTTGAAGATGCCCAGTTAAACAGTCTTGAGAGGATCAACTGGGTCTAACAGGAAGAGGAGGATGGAGCAAAGTACAGGCCTGAGACTGGTCTGGGAAGGAGCAGTTAAAAAGCTTGGTTAGAGAAGTTAGGATGGAATGAAGGGGACAAACCAGGCTGGAGGGGGTGAAGGATGGTGTTGGAGTGAAGAAACACAAGGCAGGGGTGTGTTGGGAGAACTTACAAACGAAGGGAGGTAGGGGAACAGTTTGGAGGGATAGATGGGATGAGAGGATGGCTTTTGAGAATGGGGGAGACCATGTACCAAGCGAGGGAATAGACACTTACAGACTCCTAGGGGGTGTGGCACTCCAAGCACGTTGATTTGGCCGAAGATAATCCATCTTGAAAACTGTACTATAATACTAGTTATTTTGTGTAGGGGTAGATGGCTTCTGGTTCAAAGAGTTAGTTGTTGGCATGGACATACGAGTAATATACCTAATGCATGCGGACACTTTTTTCACTGTGCAAACTCAACAGAAATCTTAAGGTAAACGAAATGGGCAAAAGAGCTTGTCTGTGTTTCGTAGTTCAGTAGTGTGCTAGGAGGTAGTGCTTGATCCTTCAATGGGAGAGAAAAGGAGCAATCTTGGGACTGGGTCTTTTTAGCATGTTTTGTTGCAAACTAACATTGTAAAATCACTCTAGTTGTCTTGTCGCCTTGTTGCCATGCATGGCGTGGCTTTGTTCAGCACATTCAGATAAGTGGGTTGCTCCTGTATCCTCTTGTAAGTCTCCTTTTTATGCAGAACCTACTCTGAACACAACCCCAAATGGCCCTAAAGAAAGCCCAGGTAAATCTGATGACTATAAAGGGAGTGAAATAACCGCTGTGATCATATACCTAGAATCTTCATGGTGGATAGTGGAGGCTTTGGTTTACACATTGAACTGGAGCATTCTGCACACTTACTTCAATTTGCGTTTCATAATATGTAAACAAATTATGGTTGTGGTCGCCTGAATGCCCCTTATGCCCAGGTCTGAATTATAAGCCTGAGACTGGAATTATATTTCTATACCTCTGTAGTAGTCTCGTCTCCCACCCAGAACTCTCTCTTCCTTCATTCCCTTTTTTCCCCACTGGTTTGTATGGTATTACCCACCTGCTGATGCCCACTCACTCAATATATCTATATAAAATGCCAGCTGTATGAAACTGTCCATCTGAATTCTGCAAAGTAATGGCACAAGCAACTACAGGCTTAACTGGTAGTCCGGTATTAAACTACACTCCGATGAGATGTCTACTCAATTCACTTTTTGTTCTGTAAGTAATGGTTAGGCTTGAGTTGACTGATCCTCTGGTAATGACGGCAGGAGTATCAAAATAAAAACCTCACTTTTCTCTTGTTTCTGCTTCTCTACTCCCAAATAAGAACAGGTTGGCAGATAACCTTACGTCACTAATCCTGTGGTTACATGTTGAGGCATGTTTTGTGGTAGCTGATCCAAACACTCCACCTCTAGTGACTTTCGCTGTAGATAAAAACATGGCTAACCAGTGCAGAATTTGTGTGCCGTGTTTTGTTGTAGCCACGTCGATCCCAGGATATTAGAGAGAGAGTGGGTGAGGTGATATCTTTTATTGGATTAACTTCTGTTGGTGAGAGACAAGCTTTCAAGCTTCCCCAGAGCTGTTCTTCAGGTCATTGCAGAATTTGGCAGATGAGATCCTGACAGTGTCTGGAGGGGAGGGCCGTCTGGTCTCGGAAGGATGCGCAAGAATTCTGCAAATGAGAGCATTCATTCATAATGGAGGAAATCTTTATAGAGGATTTGCCCTATCAATTCTCAGGTCTGTCATCATGTCTCTATTATAATGTACAAGTAATAGAAGACCCGGAAAAGCTGCCTTTCTTCTTTCAATATTGGATTATCTAGGGGTCAGATCATGGTTTCCAATATGTCTTATAAATTCTTCAATTTGCATGATGGTATTAATTAGAGTCTATTTGTTTAATTTAGGGTGTGGCTTCAGGTATTGAATGTTGCACCAATATGCATCAATGGATTCCTGTAGTTAGCTGGCATTCATATAACTTCACACTTCAGCTCACCTTGCATTTTTTCTTTCTAGGGCCGAACACTGGTACCATGATTGCTATTGGTAAGTAACTTAAAATTTAAAAAATAATTCAATGCACAGACTTTACGTAGTAAGATGCAGTAATAGCGTAAGATATTTAATGTTCCACTATCTTCATCTCATACAATTTTTCCCCGCTGCTTCACTACATGAGGAATCTACTCCGGGCAGCTAGTTTTTCTGTTACTGTATTACAGGGGTCGACAACCTTTCAGAAGTGGTGTGCCGAGTCTTCATTCATTCATTTTAACTTAAGGTTTCACGTGCCAGTAATACATTTGAACATTTTTAGAAGGTCTCTTTTTATAAGTCTATAATATATAACTAAACTATTGTTGTATGTAAAGTAAATAAGGTTTTAAAAATGTTTAAGAAGCTTCATTTAAAATGCAGAGACCCCCGGACAGGTGGCCAGGACCCAGGCAGTGTGAGTGCAACTGAAAATCCGCTTGTGTGCTGCCTTCAGCACGTGTGCCATAGGTTGCCTACCCCTGCTGTATTATGTCCTGTCTGGTGGTGCCATGTAAAAGCTCATGAGACAGATGCTTGATTTAAAGAATCCAAGAAATATAGGCCTGAAAGGGACCTCAAGAGGCCATCAAGTCCAGCCCCTGTGCTGAGGCAGGACCAAGTAAACCTAGATCATCCCGGACAGGGGTTTGTCCAATCTGTCCTTAAAATCCCCTCTGATGGGGATTCCACAGCCTCCTTTGGAAGCTTATTCAGTGCTTAACTGCCGTTAGTTACAAAGTTTTTCCTAATATCTAACCTAAATCACCCTTGCTGCAGATTAAGCCAATTACTTCTTGTCCTGCCTTCCAGTGGAGGTTGGGAACAATTGATCACTGTCCTCTTTATTCAAAGATGTTAATGGCTGTTATACTCTGCCCTGCTCCCCGCTCAGTTTTCTCCAGATTCAGTCTACCATGAGTCAACTTCTGGTAAAAATCCATTTATTTAGACTGTCTGTATAAACTTGTGATTTATTCATATTTACCTAAACCGAGTCGCCTGCTGTGATTCCATCTTAACTGTTATATTCAGGTTTATATGATATGGAAATGGGAATTAAGGATCTTATCCCTAGAAGCTGCACTTCTGTAGGTCTGTTTTGGATAAGGGTACTACTGCAAACTGAATGTGTACGTCTGGTGTCCACCAGAAATGGGAATGGAAAAAGCAACGGAGAAGAAACACGACATTGGGAGTTGACAGTGTAGGATAACATTTCACTGTTCTGCCTTTCTAGTTCCAGAGCTGGAACTTTCTCTCCATTTTGAAGAGTCCTGTGACTTTTTTCTAATATTGGATATTTTGTTAATGTCTCTGTTCAATTTTCTCTCAGGAGAATAACATTTTGGCTCAAATCTTTATATGAGATCTTCAGTAGGGAAACCATCATTAAAACACTCATGGGAAACTCACTTTTGAATAATCTTGGTGCTGATGACATTGGTGCAAGTGGATTCCAGACTTGTGAATTTTTGCTGGATTTCACCATAAATGTTCTAGTTTAATATTCTCACCAGCTACTGTTTCCTTTTTTCCATCAAGGAGTCGTCATTGGTTTGTTGGTGGCTGGTGCTGCTCCTTAAGTGAGTAATATCTGTCGTATGCAGTGAGTGAGGCAGGGGTCCTGTGGGGAGAAAACAGCGGGTGATCATGTAACTAAAGACTGATCACCATGCGTATGGACATGGGGGCTTTACTCATGTTGTACAGGCAACCTTAATTCTTGCCTTTTGTAATGGAGTGCTTGACTTTGCAGCCTTATTAATGTTCCTTTAACATAGGATGTTTAACGTAGAACTTTTGTGTGTAATACTCTGAAGAGTTGCCCTTAAATATCCATCTAACCCTCAGCCCATCGCCTCAGCAGCCTGAGGTGGGGGGGGGGGAACATGGCAGAGGTTTACTGCATATAGTCCCTTTTGCACAACTTAGTAAGTTCAGCAATTAGATTAAATTTTCAGAATATTACTTTAAAATCAGTACAGATATAAAAATGAATAAACGATCCAAAATTCTGTACAGGCAGCCCAAAAGCACTGTACAAAAAGGTTCTACACCTCTACCTCATTTTCCTCTGTCCCCAGCTATAATGTAGGGAATCGATGTACTTTGCTCGCACTCCTTTTCATACTATATACTTTAATCTTATTTCTAAGATAATATAAATCAATTTCTGTCCTGTCAACATACCAGTCTTTTAAAAGTGGGACACTAGAGCTTTTTCAGCTTCTACAAATCACTACCTTTGTACAACCAAGGACAATTAAAGCTCCATTTTTAAACTGTAGATCCATTTAAAAAGGAAAAATCACAGCACATTCAGCTTGGCCAGTGGGAGGGAAGGAGGTGTGTCTGGTGGTTTGAGACTTAATGTATGTCTACATTGGAGCTGGAGGTGTAACTTTGAGCTCAGGTGTAGACATACCTGCATTAGCTCTGATTGAGCTAGCATGCTAAAAACAGAAGTGTAGCTGCAGTGGTGCTGTACTTGGAAGGCTGTCTTGCCACTCGTGCCGCCACAGCTACACTTCTGTCTTTTAGCATGCTAGCACTGAGCTATGTCTACCCGAGTTGCAAACTACATCTCCAGCTCCGGTATGGACATAGCCTTAGTGTGTCTGTCCTAATCCCCCAACCCAAAGTGTCTTCTCTATTTTGATTTTCTTCTCCCATTAACAAAATAGGAATACTTGAGTTATCCTCAAACTAGGTGTGTGACTCAGAGCTTTTTCCCATGGACCCCCAGAGATTCAGGCCCAGAATGTCTTCAGAACCGTCTAACATTTTCAAGCTTGTAAAAAGTGAATATGGCTCACTTAAAAACATAATCCTGTTGATCTGCTGTTCAAGATTTGCTTGCTACAGCGTTCACAGTGAAGATTTTGACTTGTTGCTAATTAACATTGTGTAAAAGCTTTTTAAAATGAAAAACTGCCATTTAAATTAAAGTTCCCTTGTGCTCCATTGATTCTGAAGTCTTTCATTTGCACCCAAGATCTAGTTTCAATCTAAATTTGTGTTTAGCTCTGACTTTGCTAGAGACATCTTAGATGCTGTGAAACCTGCTTTTTATTGTATTCCCATTCTTAGAAATGGCAATATTGCTTGTTACCTCTGTAGGCAGAGCCTCAAATCTTGCCATCCACATAATAAACATTCTTAGCTTACAGGACATTTCAACAAAGCACCTGCCTAATATCTTTTGTAGGGTAAATGAGAGTTCTGGTGCTGAGACTTATTTTGTCCTCATCTGTAAGCAAAGGCCAGTGATCATAAGCCTTTAACAACACCTGGTGTTCCATGTCATGTCTTAAGCTAATGAAATGCGCAGCATCCTACAACTGTTAATTTAGAGCTGTCTCCAGTTACACAGGTAACTGACTTTAAAAATCCTTTCTGCTTTGTATAACTTTCAGCTTTCCTTTTATTTTTTATATCCTTTTATGCTTTTTTAGAGGAGGTACATTGACCAGTTGCACTCAAGCGCAATATAATTGAAGTCGTGAGCTATTAGACATTATCCCTTTGAAGCAACACTTATGCTTGTTGTGACGTGTTGCATTTTTGTCATGATCGTCAAGCCTGGTGCTTGTTGAAGGTAATATTGTATTCGGAAGCCCAATTAGTAAAATCTTTGAATGATATTTAATGTTGGAGGTTCACAAGAAAAGATACTCGCATTTAAAATGGGTTTTTACTGCCAGAATAAAACAAATCCAATATTAAGATGACTTGCAAGTAACATGTTGCTATGTAGTCTTTCTTGGACTATGAAAAATACTGACTTGCTAGGATTTAAATGAGGTAACTCGTTGTCCTCCTATACATTTTAACCAGAACTGTCTATTAAATAGAAGACGCACATTAGAGCAAAAAATTATGTATTGTTTTTGTGTTAACTTAATCCCAGAGACAGTTTGTCTGAAAATTTAAAGCCATAGGTTTTTCCAGTGATTTAACTTCAGTTTTTAGGAAACACTTTTAAAAGCTTTATACTTGTCTTTAATTAAATTGCATATTGACCAATCTCTTGTCAAACTATTAATAGCTCTTTTGACTGTTTTCTAGAAGAGCAATATGCTCAAATAAATCTGAGACTTCGTTCAATAAAGGGGTACTAGCGCACACACTAATTATAAATTAATCCTATATACCCAATCATGTGAACCTGAAGCTTGACACCTCTGTTTGCTGCAGTCCCCTGGGGATGTTTGGCAGAAATATGAATATAAATATTGATAGGAAGCTTGAGTTAAAACTATCCTCCTTTAAAAGGGACACAGCTGGATAGATTGCATATATATTTTACCTTGTAAGGGATTTCTTTCACAATTGAGTTTTAATAGAAAATTGTACATACAATTTTAGAAAAATTTTGAATTTAAACATTCTCTTAGAGTTTGCAACACTGCAATGCTTCATTGTGCTAGTGCTTGGAAAGTAAAAAAAATTCCCTATGTACATTGAAAGAAATGCAGACGTAAATAGCATTAACTAGTTTAAAAAAAAAATCTTTCACTTTGTTAATCATCTAATGATATGGAAATAACAAGGATTTTTTTTTTTAAAACCAGTTAACCTGATGACTATAGAAGTGTGTGAGAGAGAGGATCTGTTGAATCATCCTGTCCCTGCAAAGGCAGGATTGTTCTCTACAGTACTTTTTTCTACCATTTTAGTCCATGCTAGTTTTAAAAGTTTCAGGTAATAGGGCTTCCACTACTTCCCCCTGCCCCTCCCCCCCTCCAAAAAAAATCCATTGCCATCAAAAAATTTCCTAATATTCAGTATCAGTTTTCTTGGGAGTTCTAATGATATAAAAAGCCTCCTTTTAAGGAAGCAAAAGCAACTTTGATTTTTACTCTTGAATTCTGGAGTCACACTTTATTGAATTAGTTTCTCTCCTTTCCTGCTGTTCAGCCCATATGATGCAAATCAGTACTTCAGTGATCTACAGGAACGTGGGAAAAAACCTAACTTGGATCTTGAAAGGGGTTTTACAGAAAATATTTACTTCAATGTGAAAAGATGGTGAGGTTCTGATGAACTATTATCTGCAAGAACATAATCCAACTATGCAGCATATCAAATTGAGACTATAAATTACTTTCTTAGGTTACCTTTCTTCTGTGGCCTGAACAGATATGTTGAATGCAACACATGTGAATATCTACTAAATTCTCCATTTCTATGTAACCATTTTGTCAACTACAGCAGTTATGAATGCATTGTGTGCCTTATCTTGTGATGTTACTTATCATAACAGCTCTGTCTTAACATATAAACGTTACTTCAGTATATTACCATTTTGATAATATAAGGACAAATCTTTTCTCCAGAAGAATATTAATGATACAAAGCCCATGTTGGACTTTCATTTCTGGTGTAAGGTTGTGATTATATCCTTAATATGAGACTTCTCTCAGTAGAGGAAGAGTAATATAAAGTCTATATGCTACAACTTTTAGTTGATATAATTGTATATGTGGAGCTTATATACAGCAGGCAGGAGATGCTAAACAAATCTCTGCTGAAGAGCTCAGGTGGTGTTGGTGTTTCATGTGGATTCACTGTGAAACCCTAGGCCCTGACAGTGCTACAAAAGTACTGTTGACTTTTCTACATTACTCCACATAGTATTCTTGGGGTGTACAGTTGAATAAGATTCTTCTATAACGTGATAAGTCAGTGGAAGAAACTAATATGTCCTAAAACAGTGTTATGTTATAGATGACCCCTTTGCCTTTCCAGTGCTCAAACAGTTGAGCATTACGGGGAGGGAGCATAGATAGTCCAGTTCTCCTGTATTTAGGATATGTAATACCTAACTCATCACTGTTTGCCAACTTTGATTACAGATTAATACTCATGAATTTTTTTTTTCTGCCTCTTTTCTGTTTTGGACATGGCCTCTGAGAAGAAACAGCATGAACTCTGCTTTAATTGGAAATTAGTTATTGATTGTGTTAATGTAACTCTAAAATTAACAAAACAAATCTTTCAGACAGAACATAAAATGAAAAATCTCGTTATCCTAAACATCCGGAGTGAAGTCAAGATATTGTGCATTTTTACTTTGGTTTTAACTTTCTTTATTTTGGTTTTGCAGGAAAGATGCCTATCATTCTGGCAGTGCTGATTACTAACTTGTTCATCAGACAGTGAACATATTGGAAGAAAATGGAAAAATTGAGGGAAACCTCATATGATAGCACTAAACGTCTGTCGTGATCCCAGAGTCCTCTCACTACAATTGTATTCAGGGTTGTGGATTTTGCTGTTGTGAGCAAGAGCCTTTTGAGATTTCTATTTGGAGGTTTCGATCTTGAAGTACTTATTATCCCTTTTAAAATACAGATTAATGATGCCAAAGATACTCATTGAACTGCTGTAGGCTTTTGTTAATTCAAATTTATCCTCCGTTTTTTATTCAAATCTCCAGAATAATCAGTGTTCCTTTGCTCTCATGTCCAAAAAAACTCCAAAAACAACAATAACAAAAAACAACCCCAAACTATTCTTACCCCAAGTCTTATATTTAGTGTGTCCTCATTGTGGCATCCCAGGGTGAAGTGTGCAGATGTATGTAAGACTCAGGTGTTCAGAATCCACACTATCAAATTTTTAAGCCAGTATTGAGAGCCAAAATAAATTTCCTCCGTTTCCTTATGAGCACTTTCTGATAAGTAAGCAATAAAATGGTTATACTTGTGAGCAAATTCTTGTATGATTCCGTGCCTAAATGAAATGTCTTTATTTTTATATTTCAGTAGCTGAAAATAAGTTTTTTGGTAGCATTTAAAGCAAGCTTATTACATTCAGGAAATAATTCTCTGCTGTGAGAAGGTGTGCATCACCAAATGCTGTTTTGTCTCTATCACTGAAAATATAATTTATTTGTATTTATACAAGTTGTACAGAATTTTACTTGGCAATCTGCATATTTATCAAGTGAAAAAACTGGAATTTCTGTATTGTACTTAAGTCTTTTCTCTGAATAAAAAGAATACTGTAGAGACTATAGCATCCTGACTCTCAATAGCGATGTAAAAATGTGGTTGAAATCTACTCCTCTACTGTGATCTTGTCACTAACTGCTTTCCAGAGCAGATGAAACTAGTACTACTTTTTGCACCCCACTCCCCCACAAAAAATCCATGATTTCCTAGGGCATGGATCTTTCTAGCAAGGGGTAGCACTTTGTCAGCCTTGTAACAATGCACTGCCAGGAAACTACAAAATACTATCCAAACTGAACGCTAGCGTGATAGTATAACCCACACATCTCCTGGGTGTGGTGGTCTGTCCCATCTAGTGGCACCAAGACCACTTAGAAACCTAAAATGAGTCTGGTCCACAGCCTTAGCTAACAGACAGTCGGTCCAATCCTGCCTGCGTTGCAATAGGATTAGGATCTATGTGATAGAAACAGATTTCTGATACTCATTAGAAACTGCAAAGATGTTTAATGAAGCTTTGCCTTTGCTCAGATTACCTGAAGGATGTGGCTGGATTTAGATGTTTTAATTTCCCACTGTTGCTAAGGTCATAGCTACACTGGGGATGTGTCCTGATTTTCAGTTAGCAGTTCAAATCCCCAGCATAACATCAGGTTTCCTCTATCAAGCCTTGTTTTGCACTAGTGCAGCTTACGTTTTCAAGCATGGGTAGGTGTAAGCTGCACTAGTGCAAACTGCAGTTTATAGCAGTTTTCCTGTCTACACTGTGGCTGAGCACTGATGGAGCTATATTGGTGTCAGACCACTAGTGGCTGAAAGCAGGACAAAGGCTCAGGCCATGTCTATACTACCGGCTAAATCGGCACTGCTGCAATTGATGCAGCGGTGTCGATTTTAGTGGGTCCAGTGAAGACACTAAGTTGATGGGAGAGTACTCTCCTGTCGACACAGCTTCTGCCTTTCAGGGAGGTGGAGTACAGACATCAACAGGAAAGTGTTTCCATCAATGCAGCGCGGTGTAGACACTGCTGTAAGTCAACCCAAATTAAATCAACTTCAGTTACGTAACTTGCATAACTCAGATTGACTTACTGCATTAGTGTAGACCACCCCTCAGTGTACACAAGACCACCAATGGTGGTAGCATTGGGAAGCTTAGTGTAGATGGGCCAGTGGGTGCTACTGGCATTTTAAACACAATTAATGGTATTTTCAAGAGCCTAAGTGAGTTAAGGAGGAAAAGTTCTATTGAAAGTTGTTGGGAGCTGACTTGAGATGAAGGGGAGTTGATGTGAGTCACATTAGCTGCCTGAATCTGTTCCGTAGCATAGTGATTCTGCTCATAACTTTCCATACAATGAGGTTATGAAGTGGAAATTGTTGAGGCCTCTCAACTGCAGGAAAATAGTAAATAATGTTTTTTTTTTCATAAAATATGTAGAAATGCGCTAAATTTGGTAGAGGTTAGTGAGGGACTGGGATGGTGAAATAAAATACTACTAGTTCAGCCTGGCAGTGATGTGTGCTTAGACTAAAGTTTCTGCAGGCAGTAGGTTCTGTATGTGACTCATTATCTCTCATCTTGCTGGTCACCCTGTGCTGCAGCTGTGTGTGTAAGAGATCATTTTTAAACGCACAAATGTAGTAGTTTTTTCACAACTGGTAAAGCTTTTACTGTAACAATGTCGCCGTCTTTCCATGACTCTGGGTCTATCGGTTGGTTCTCAACATTGCTATCCTCCAACAATCCCTCGGTTGCCATGTCCTTGTATAAAGACTCTTCTTCCATTCCTACCTATAAAAAACAAATATTTAACCATACATATTTATAAAACATCTGTAATTTTTCATCCATTTGTTATTAAAATAGCCTTACCTCCACCTTCGAGTCTGCTTCCTCCAAAGCGGCAACACATTTTTTCACACTCTATCCTTTTCCTCTTTGACAACTAGCCATGACTCCATAAAGTCGTTCTGTTTCTTGGGTTCAATTTCAGGATGAAACACAGAGTTCGGCAACAGGTCTGCCTCTTTTTAGCAAAATAAGTGTGAATGGCACCCATGGGCAATTCCAGCTTCTTGGCGTCTGTAGGCATCTTGTAAAAGGACATGGCCGTTGTGTCTAGGCTACCGGTTTTAAAACTGCTGTTCGCAAATATATGTGATTTTATACACACGGTCAAATGTTCATTGGCTAGAGTTTTAAAATAATACACCCCATGATAGTCCTTTTCTGAAAGGCTCGTTTTAGAATCTTGGTATGAAAGGAGTGGTTCAAAAAGTGCATTCTGTGACGTAGCTGTAAAACACTGAAAGACGGGGCTAGCTCCCAAGGTTCGCCGCCCAGAACAGCTATCATTTCACTACCGACCATCACTGGAGTAGGCTGTTTCGCTCCTCATGTGTTCAGTAACAGCCTCTTATTGCTTTGTTTTTTGTATTTTCTAAAACCTTTTTTCTTTGCTCTGTGCTTATTTTTTCCTTTCTATTATTTAAAAATCATCGCTCCATACTAAACGTAACCAATCTTTCTTCTCTTTAATAACTTTTTTCTTTTTTCCCTCTAAACCTAACTAAAGCTTTTTTTTAATCTTTAAGCTTTCTTACGCTATTCTTTCAACCTTTTTCTCTAAACAATCAACCAAATGTATCAAAGCACAAGCATGCAACATTCCCCCATTCAAACATAAAAAATACTGTAATAAAAAAAAAATTCAAAATGACTAACGGTGCCAAACCTTGACACCAATGGAACTGGAACCGCAGGGCAGGACATAAGCCCTAAATGGGGTGTGGAAACCTGTCAAAAATACAGGGTGATGAATACTATCAAGCCATATACTATTATATAACACTGATGGGAATTCATTGCATAGCCTTTGACACTTGTACTCTAGCCTTCAGGAGACTTAAGCATGTGACTAATTGGAAGAAGTCGTTGGGCCATTAGCATGTGCGGTAGTACTCTGCAGAGTCAGCTCCTTAATAAACAGAAGGCAATTTTTGTGCCTTCCCTGAATCAAGAGAGACGTTCTCTCAGTCATTATAACAAGTTCTAACTTTGCCTGGATACAGTCATTCTGTTTTGAACTCCATGTAACAATGTTGAATTTCTGATACTGTTCATCCTTTGTAGAAATAAGCTTTCATTAGTGAAGAAAGCATCATAAATAATTTTCAGGATATTCTTGTTGTAGGGGGCAAGGAGAATCTCTGTCATTGCGCTTAAATGAGGAAAAGTCAATTTTTATTTGCCTAAACTCAGGATTCCCTTGGGCCTAATAACAGGAAATTGCTCGACAAAATGCATAATTAATCCATGGAACTCAGTGCCATGAGACTTTGAAGTAAAGAGCTTGGTAGAATTCAAAGAAGGATGAGACACTCAAACTCTTGTCCTGCAAACACTTAAAACTGTTTTTAATGTCACTTGTGAACTATCCCATATAAATCAATGGGTCTACCCAAGCGAATATAGTTATGCATGTGCGTGTTTCAGGGTCTGGGTCTTAATTTTGCAATATAAATATATGCACTTAGGATAATTTAGTTGGCTTATAGTTTTACTCCTCTTTAGGATATGAGGGAACCATTAACTGTGGGGTTAGGAGAAATTTTCCCCCTTACACCTGGCCCCCTGTGGGCATAATTATCCATAATGTAGGTTTTGCAGGTTTCTCTGTAGCTTCTGTGACTGGCCGTTGTCAGAAAGGAGATAAGACTAGACCAGCGTTTCTCAGCCTGTGGGTCAGGACGTAAAATAGGGTTGCCAGAAGGCTTGTTTCAAAGGGTCATATGGCAGCTCCTGTGGCTCACCTCCCTGCTCTGGGCGCTACAACTGCCTGGATTCCAGCGCCACTCAGGTTTGGCCCAGCCATCATGATGACAGCAGCCTGGGTAGGCAGAGGCGGATTAGGGGTTTGTGGGGCCATGGGCCAGAGCAACTGGGGGGGGCCCTTCCCACCCCTTCTACCCTGCAGTTCCCCGTCTTCCTCCCCGGGCGCTCCAGCCAGGGAGCGGGGTCAGGGAGTGGAGACTTGCCCTGCCCACTCCTGCAAGATCCTGCGCCCCCACCCTGCTCCCCAGCAGGAGTGCTGGGTGGGTGCATGTAGTGGGTTGGGGGTACAGGGGCACCCATTTTTCTGGGGGGCCCCCAATTGGCCAAGCCCCTGGGCAAGGTCCCCGTT